ATACACAGACACACATACAGATAGACAGGTACACAGCGTGTGTGTTTTTATAGTGGATGCACAGTGTGTGTGTGTGTGTGTGTATAGTGAATGCAATATGTGTAGCGGATGCACTGTGTATAGTGGATGCAGTGTCTGTGTAGTGCATGTAGTGTGTGTGGGGATGCAGTGTGTGTGTGTAGTGGATACAGTCTGTGTTTGTGTAGTGGATGCAGTGTCTGTTTGTGTAGTGCATGTAGTGTGTGTGTTTGTTGTATGGAATATGTGCTGAGGGGTGGGGGAAGCAGGTTTTTAATTAGCTGGGCTTATTCCCTCCTTCCCTCCACAGGTAAGAGGCAGGGAGGGGGGAATAATCCCAACTAATTAAAACACACACACACACTACATGCACTACACAAACACACAGCATCCACTACATAGAAACATAGAATGTGACGGCAGATAAGAACCATTCGGCCCATCTAGTCTGCCTAATTTTCTAAATACTTTCATTAGTCCCTGGCCTTATCTTATAGTTAGGATAGCCTTATGCCTATCCCACGCATGCTTAAACTCCATCACTGTGTTAACCTCTACCACTTCAGCTGGAAGCCTATTCCATGCATCTACTTCCCTCTCAGTAAAGTAATACTTCATGATATTATTTTTAAACCTTTGTCCCTCTAATTTAAGACTATGTCCTCTTGTTGTGGTAGTTTTTCTTCTTTTAAATATAGTCTCCTCCTTTACTGTGTTGATTCCCTTTATATATTTAAATGTTTCTATCATATCCCCCCTGTCTCGTCTTTCCTCCAAGCTATACATGTTAAGATCCTTTAACCTTTCCTGGTAAGTTTTATCCCGCAATCCATGAACCAGTTTAGTAGCCCTTCTCTGAACCCTCTCTAAGGTATCAATATCCTTCTGAAGATACGGTCTCCAGTACTGTGTACAATACTCCAAGTGAGGTCTCACCAGTGTTCTGTACAATGGCATGAGCACTTCCCTCTTTCTACTGCTAATACCTCTCCCTATACAACCAAGCATTCTGCTAGCATTTCCAGCTGCTCTATTACATTGTCTGCCTACCTTTAAGTCATCAGAAATAATCACCCCTAAATCCCTTTCCTCATATGTTGAGGTTAGGACTCTATCAAATATTCTGTACTCTGCCCTTGGGTTTTTACGTCCAAGATGCATTATCTTGCACTTATCCACATTAAATGTCAGCTGCCACAATTCTGACCATTTTTCAAGTTTACTTAAATCATTTGCCATTTGGCTTATCCCTCCTGGAACATTAACTCTGTTACATATCTTAGTATCATCAGCAAAAAGACATACCTTACCATCAATGGTGGTCTTGTGAGATGTCTTCCCGGAGCTACTGCTTACAGAGACAGGAGACGTATTTGTAATATTGTTAAAAGACCACTATAGTGCCCCCACCCTCAGGGTCCCCCTCCCGCCGGGCTGGATAGAGAGGAAGGGGTTAAACTTACCTCTTTTTCCAGCGCCGGGCGGGGAGCTCTCCTCCTCCTCTCCTCCCTCTTCTCCTCCTCTTCGGCTGAATGCGCATGCATCAAGAGACAGCCACTGGAGGATGGATTAACCCTAATGAAACTGCTCTGAAACTGCTATGTTTATAGAAAAAAGGGTTAACCCTAGCTGGACCTGGCACCCAGACCACTTCATTAAGCTGAAGTGGTCTGGGTGCCTATAGTGGTCCT